CGTGCGAGTTGCGCCGCTCCTTATCCTTAAATAATGACACGATATGACTTATTCTAAAGCCACTCCTGCGGTATCTGAGTCATCTCGCGTTTTAGAAGCGCAGCGATGTTTTCCAATTACAGCCTATATTTCTGACTTGTGCCGAACATGGCTCAATGGCTCCATAATCTTTGGATGGTGGCCTTACGAGAATGCCCTTAAATGGAAGCGTATGCTCTCACCGAACTTGCCACCGGTTTTAACTTGTTTGAAATTGTTCCAGGATTATTATTTGCAGTTTTGGGTTCCCCATTTCTTCTGAGCGTATCTATTTCTCTTCATCCTGGAATTCAACTTTTTCTGAACTCCTCCAGATTCAGCAACTTTTATCAAAACGCCCACGGTTTGGGATTACAACAATGAATGGATGCATTGGTGTCCTGGTGACATTAAAGGCTAGCCAAATAGTCTGAGCATCCTTGCCTTTGCCACCTCACAGGACATCTTTCCATTCCCAGTGTCTTGAGGAAGTTCTTTGCAAGCACTGTTCTTTGGTTTGACGGTCTCAAAGGTAATCCCCCCTATTCGAATGTCCCGTGAGTCTTGGGTGTCACTGTACTGGTCGTCCGAAATTGATGTGGCTTTTGGTCCCCCTTCTACTGTTTGGTGTCCTGCTTCTGATTGGTCTTAGTGAAAATTATGGGGCTTGGCTGTGACATCAGTTTATCCATGTTGACTCAGCGTTTTCCAATCATTCAAAATGAGGTGTATTCTTAGCAGCAGTTTTACTAATGCCGAGCTCAATTATATGTCGAAGGGGAAGGATTATATAGCTTGTTTTAGTATGTTCTTTGCGAATTCCTTCTTTCTAAAGTCAGTACTTTGAAGCACTTTCCTTCGGTGCGTGCTTTATCTTAAATTCTTGCTCCAAAAGTTCTTGCAGTTTATTTTCTTATGCAAAAGTTTTTTTTAGATTTTCTTGGTAAACAACGATGTCAGAATACTTGTTGTTTCTCCTTCCCTTCTTTTCCTCGTTTCTGCTAGAGTCGTTGTCCATCAAACCAGTGGCAAGTTGCGATTTCAACGATGGAGAGACGTGTGGTTGGATGCATGAGGAGGCTGTATGGACACATCAATGGGAAGTTGAGCAGAGTTATCTCTGCCTCAAGGTTAAAACTCCCATCTTACCGTCCAAAAAGAAGCCTTCATGGCTTCTGGGTCTCGCCACTAGCCAAAGGAAATCCTCTGCAGACATTCGAGTTCGATTCATCAGTCCTCCCGTGCCCTCTTCGCTTGGGATGAAGTGTATCGTTTTTGCTTATTCCATTGATGGACCTTTCTGCCATTTGGGAATGCTGTCTCAGGAGGATGGGTACTTCTCCAGTAAAATATTGATTTTAAGTGAAAAATCGGACAATCCTCATTGGTTCTCTCATTTTATTCTGTTCCCGCCTTATTCAAGCATTCGTTGTTCTCAAGAAGGTTATTTGCAGTCATCCATCATTTCTGATTGCCAAACGGCTGTTCTGTTGTTGAGAACTAAAGTCTAGTTGTTGTAGAGGGACTCGTTCAGTGATGTCAGGACTAATGATTCCCGCTTCTATGTTGCGACCTGTTTACTAGAATGGCTGCGAGACCTTGATGTCATATTCCGATTCATCGCAAGATTATTATTTATTATTCTTTAGATCTCTACTTTCTATGATTTAGGTGGCTCTTTTTTATTTTGTAAGGCATTGATTGGTAAGTGTTGGTCAAACTCATCGCTGTTGCTCAAGTCACTGAAAGTTTGTAATTTTTTCTGAAGGAGATACATGCGGTTGGATGCATGAGGAGGTCTCTTGCCCGTACTGAATGTACGGGACTGCCTCTGTCTTAGGCCTAAAATACTTTCAAGCTCCTCCAAAAAGATCTCTTGGCTCCAATGTCTTTTTATTGATCAATCAGGTGACGAGAATGATGTTAGCGCTTGGTTTTCAAGTCGTCCCATCTCTGCTCTCCTGGGAATGAAGTGCGTCACGCTTAAATATATGATTGGTTTTGGAAAGAAGGAGTTCTCGAAGCCTCTCCTTGCTTCAGTAACAAAAAGGGTACCTTCCCATGACGTCATTCTTGTTTGAAACTCTTGAACTCTATGGTTCATGTCACGACATTCGACAATTTTGCAACGAGGCGAACAAATCTTCCTTCACTTGGTGGCCTTTTTAACCTTTAAAATTCCTGGCATTCATACGTCGTATCTAGTATGTCTACATTCATGCAAGTACTAATTACTCTCATCATCCTGCATTACGTTGGACGGCTCTGCGGAAGGTTACTTTGTGGACTTTATGCATTTTTTTTCCGATGGTAGGAGGCTTCAGCTGTTGTTGAGTCTAAGTTGAGACGTAGACAATGAATTCTCTCTGGTCTCCGTAACTTTGTACATTTACTAATCTTGCTATCACCAGTTGTACTGGGTTTTCCCTTTGTATTTGTTTAGTGTCGAATAGCTATGGGGCATTCCATTTGGTCTTGAATTAGGTGTCACCATCACATATACTCCTGATTTCACTCCTCACTTTTAGGCCAACAAAATTGATTATTTTTTGGGGAAATTAGATTTCACCCGTGCCCACTTTATCGAGTTTGTTGAAGTTCACGGTCCATTTTTTGGGTCTTCAGTGGTCATGTCCATATTCGTCTGATTTTTACAGGAAATCGGTTAACAAATTATGTTTGAGGTTTTTGTCTTCCCCTTCCAATTCTGATAATAAGCTCCGATTTTAACACTGGTTGAATGTGCGGTTGGATGGGCAGCATAGCTGAATGAGCTTATGGATAGGCTGTTGCGATCTTCTCTATCAAATTCACTAAAAGTTCTTTACTGGCAGAGAACATTCTTTCTAATTATCCAATCAAGGGATTTGACTGACGCCAGAGATCGACTTTGCTGTTACTCTGCTAAAGTGTCAATTTTATGTATTTCAATCGGTTATGGTTGTAGGCTTGTAGGGCACCTCGGTATCTACTTTGACGGTTGTTTGGAGAGCACTCTCAGTGTGTCTTCGTTTTCTTTCCTTCTCACATCCAGATGTCTTCACGCCATTCCACGTCTGGAGCTTCGAAGAAGGGGATATGGAAGATTGGTCTAATGACAATAACAACGGGCAACTGAGGTGGCATGTTGAGGCAACACGCCAGCCTTCTTCCTCCATCTGTGTGTCAGCAAAAACTTCGTCAAAAAAGTCGAGAAAGTTTTTATCTCCATCTTTTTTTTCCAAGGAGACCTCTTCTCGTCTCTGGGGTCCTATCATGGCTAGCGATTTGGGAATCAAATGCTTCGCCATCCAGTATGCAATCGAAGGAGCTGGTCATAGTGCCAGTCTAGCTCTTCTCCAGCAAAGTTCTGGGTACTTGTTTCTTCACGTCTTGTTGCCATTGTAGAGCACATTTGCGACTTTACTTCATCGAGGATCCTGTACCTGTGTGCATTGAGGGGTGTTAGCGTTGGGATTAGGTCCTGCTTTGGTTTGAGACATTTTCTCTTTGCGAGGTGGAAGAGTTCCAATTGTTCTGTTCCTTACTGATCTGACAATCACATCGACTTGATAGTGATGATGGTGTTCACTGTTCCCGGTTTTTCGTATTCCTATCAGTCCTTTCCATTTTTTTTCTGTAGAAATCCCTCCAAAACCCTTCTTTGCGTGGACCTTCAATGAAAATACAGGAAAATGGGTCAACGATGCCGCGAATTGGCATCAGAAATGGGAGCTTATTAATGGAGCTATTTGCTTACACAATGTACCGTCTGAGCCTGAGGAGTCCGATGATAATATGTTTTGGTTATCTCTAAATGCTCTGAGCGAAAGTGTAGCTGAAACCCCAAAGGCACTACTTTGGAGTCCGCCAATTCCACAAGTTGTTGGAATGCGATGCATTACGATGAACTACTGGATTTACATAGTCTCCAACATCTCAGAGTCATGTCGTCTCGCCATGTTGCAACAACAGACTGGGTGATTAGCATCAATTTGAATAATACTAGAAATATCGTCACACTCTGAGCGGTCGTGTGTGCAATTTTTACTTGTTCCACGTAGCTTTTGAAGTTATCTATTCGACCGTTCTTTTGCTTTCAAAGCTCACCCCCGGTAGCCAAATCTTTGCAATTTTCTGATTCAAAATCTTCTCTTACTCGGATTATTTTGTAGTGTTTAGTGACTTGCTTATTAGCCGTTTTTGTTTCGGCCCCTACAGATAATCTTTCGAACTTGTTTATTATGTTGACCTTCGATGAAAATGCTGGTGGTTGGGTCAACAATATTCCGAATTATCATTAGAAGTAGGAACTTATTAGTGACACTGATTACACGATGTATCGACTGGTGTTCCCTTGTTTTCTGCTAGTTCAAGGAAGGAGGCTAAAACGACCACGAACTCAAAAGCGTCACTGTGGAGTCCCTCCATTTCACAAGCCGTAGGAATGCGTTGCGTCGAGATAAATTACATCGGTTTCAATAACATTGAGTCTGGATCCTGCAGTTTCGCCTTGCTTCAACAACAAGACGAGTGATTGTACTCAGCCTAGAATTTTCCAGAATTGTTGACCTGCTTCATTTTCTGATCTGTTTCTGTCTCCCCATCTCTGAAGCTGAAGTTTTCCTTGTCGAGTCGCTAACAGGATTACTTGCCTTATAAGGGTTCTCTTTTCTTTGGTCAAAAACTCACTATTAACATACGTTTTGGTTGGTTGTTTATTCTTTCAATTCGACTAATGAACGCTTCTTTCTTTTCAATCGTAAATCTGAACCAATTGTTTTACGCCTTTGGTGTTGCTTTACTTCCGTATTCATTTTTATGCAATCTGCTTCGGTAGCAATTATTCTAGCGTACTCATTAATTCTAAAGCTCTGCACAGCACTTACCTGTCCTCGTAATTTTTCTGCTAAGCTCAAAATGAACCTTGAACCTCTTGGACAATATAAACGAGAACGAACCTATTAAAAGGAAAGGGTTTTTTTGGGGTTTCTTCCATTCCTCGGGCTATTGGCATGGTCTACGTTAGCAAAGTAGATTTTGTGGATTTTTAATTTGTGACCACCCATGTTTCAACAATGGAATATGTATTTGGTTTCATTTTTAAACCATCATCTCTCTGTTACCAATATCAAGGAGTTCTCCGACT